AGATATTGGTAGTATTTGCTCGTCTTTAAAAGTTTGTGTTTAGTTGTTTAGTTTTACCACTAGGGGGCAGCAGTACTCACAAACTTTTGGGTCCACGCATCAGTTTTTACAAGTGATTCAAATGTACACCATGTCCTGTTCTTTGTTGGCTCATTGTTGTTGTTTTTTTTCCATGAATTGCTTTTGAATGTAATCTCTGTGAGAAAACAAAAGTCTCAGCACAGTTTTATAAGGCAACAGTCGTATATGTGTATAAGATGGACTGTGTGTGTGTGTGTGTGTAAGTGTAAAATAAAGATCTACACCCTTTTCCTAAAAGTATTTTCACTTCCTCATATCTACTTGCACCTTCATCTCTTAGGAGCAGTAGGTCACGTTTACCACAGAAGTCTGAAATATCACTGTTGGCATACCAGACCTGTTTTCAGAACAGTTTTTCAAGGTTACCTCATCAACTGAATGACAATCAATATATTGTTATTGCATTAATTGTATTCTTTTTATCCTGCAGCTGTAACACTGTAATTACTATAATAACCCTTGTGGCATCAGTAAAGTGTCTACCTATACAGTGTGTATTTTTTTTAAAGCGTTACATTATAAATGTTAATACACCAATAATTGTCTAACTGCCTATCAGATTAACGCCTAGGACACTCACAAGTCATCGCCACCTTTCACTTCTGTTTCCTCTTTTTAGGCCTTATTCTTGTAGGGCCTTTTCATGGCGACTCTGTAAATTCAAGTCAGACCCTCGTGTGAACTCCATGTGGTACAGACCAAAAAACAAAAAAAGCAGAAGGGTGTGATTTTCACGGGGTGAAGCATCACACTGCTGTGAGAAGTAGCCCCTTGACAGGATAATAGTCCCTCCTGGAGGTGTAAAACAGCCAGGAGCCAGTTCAAGAAGAAAACCTGGGAGTGACCAGGAGTGGCACCTCTGGGCTTTTAAATAAGCCCCATAAAGCAGGAGGAACACCAACACACCCCTTCCCCCTCCACCTAAGTAGGGGAAAGATTTGAAACAGCAAAAACCCTGTGAGCTAGAGCTGTGTACCGTTATATGCCCATGATAGCAGCAGGGCTGTGACGATTGTGCCTCCCCTTCTGTGTATGTTGTGGACTCACGTATTGTAATGTATGAATTCAGTCAAATGTGTTTTTTATATAAAGACTGTTTTTCTCTGTTATCTAAGCAGATGGCAGATGCTTAAGATCAGCTGAATGTTTTGGGTGTGAGAATCTTGTGCTTCAGTGGGAGAGGAGGGGTGTTAACCCCTTTACCTCCTGCAGTGCGCGCACACACACACACTTACACCCACACACCTGCACACATTTGTTTTTGTTGTTTCTGAGACATTAAAACAGAATTCCCACACTTTCCAAACACTCTAAAGTAGATTTGAGGTATAATTCAACGTTTTTCCCAGTAGTCATAATAATTTTCTTCATGGAAGAGACAGCACCACTCTTAAGGCTGATCAGCAGCAGCTTGACTTAGCATGAAGACAGGGGACTCTTAAATAATAACCCCACCTACCTAAATGCACTGCTAAAATACACAAATTTATATATTATTATTGTCCGGGTCAAATCTCACAAAACACTAAAGCACAAACAGAAACTCTGAGTCTTGACTGCTTTCAGACAATAAAAGACTGAGGTAATTACACCAGTGTAAAGCAGATTAAACCAGGAATATCAACGCAATTAAAGATCATTCAAATACGAGCACTAAAATCCATCCATGCCTAATAATGTATAATAACTACTGATAATAAGAAACTCAAAATCGTTTCTTTTAGTGCATTCTGAAAATGTTCATTGTTAAGTGTTCATATGCAATACATATGCAAACTTTGGGTTAAACAAATAGATCTAGCGAGTGAGGGGATGCACTTTAATTTTGAATTAATACAAATTTTTTTCACAAACACAACCGCCACCCCCCACCCCAACCATGCCCACCCACCTCACCACCTCACCTCACCATCTGAGCTGTAGAGATCTCAGGGATAGGCACGATTGTGGCTCTTTTTCACTCTTTAGCACTACGGTCACCTCGGTGAGCCGAGGAGAGTTCGAACTTCTCAATTGATTAATTATACTTTTAAAAGTAGAAAGTGAGATTGGTTCTGGTAGAAGTTGGACGGAGATCCACCACGAGGAAGAGGATTCACCACAATGGATGAGAGAGTGAGGTTTTTAGAAGTGAGATTTTCCTCATAAAATAATTGAAAAATTGCTCACAGAGAGCTGGGGAGGCAAAGTCTAGTTTATCAGGGCAAGGACTGATGGCAGAATTGAACATTTTAAACAGGGCCCGGGGGTTATGGCTATTAGTCACGATGAAGTCGGACAAAAAAGCAGCTTTAGAAGTCTTAACAGCGTCCCGATATATAGTGCGGCAGCTACGTAAAATGTCCAGGGATACCTGAAGCTTATCTTTTTTCCACCTCCTCTCAAATTGAGGACAGATAAGACGTAAATCTCGTATATATAGAGTCATTTAACCAGGTTTGAGGGGAGGATCTAAGACGCTTCACATTAGACTGTACATTATACCACCACCCATCCATTTTTGCTCCACTTATCCAACTCATGGCTATGGTTGGGCCTGAGCCTATCCCGTACCCCAGCAGGAGGCTGGGTACAACCATTCATGCTCACACCTACGGTCAGTTAAGTCAGCCATTAACCTAACGTGCTGTGGGACTGTGGGCGGAAACTGGAGTACCTGGAAAGAACCCAAAACCAGGACCTTCTTGCCCTGAGGCGATGTTGCCCTTTCCTTATACCTTTAATTCTAGTATTTATGCTAAGCCAACCAAAGGCTACGTATTAACGATACAAACATATACATGATGGTATTCTCATCTCTTTCCAAGATCGGTAATCTAATAATAATATATACATTTTTATAAAGGATCCAAGGTACTTGTTGTTAAAAGTCAACACACAAATTCATTCGCTTTACTTCCACTCCATGTTTTACATGTAAGGTTCGGAACTTTATGCTAAAAAAATCAAAATGAACGAACTGCACAGAACACACATGTTAGGGCAGTCCACTGAAATTAATTGTGTGCTGCGGTTTTTCATTTGTTGCGTATAAGCTACTCTTTGTATTCACAATGTTCTGTCCTTGTATTGTTGTCCTGTGTGTGTATGTGCACCAGTTCCTGGCTGACAGGTGCAGGAAGAAAACGTTATTGTATTGTTTAAAATGTGTCAGTTTATCTTCTTTATATACCAGTTCAAACAGGCAGGAGCAACATGATGTCAGTTTGGATTTGAATCTCAAAAAAAGAAAAAAAAAAGGCCTTCCCCGCCTCACTGGCAACGTCACAGGGACTTTTACCGGTCACTTATCTCTCCTCCATGTTGAACACTGCCTACAGTGCTTTGGTAGAAGTGTGGAAGTGTATTTTTCCAGTGGGACTCGCATTTACATGTCTCCCTCGGGGGGCGTTTTTTTTCCACGGATAGTTTTAATCTGCCTGTCATGGAAAGCTTAGAAAAAAAAACTTCTTGGCACTGGAGCTCCACCTGGGACTCCAGCTGCAGAGCCTCATTGTTCTTCAGTTCAACGCTAAAAATGTGCCTGATCAAGCCTCACTCAAAACAAGCCTTTGTCTTTATAGTGTGCTTCCAAGGGCCAAGGGCAGGCTAAAGAGAAACACACCTTCTCATTTAATGGCTTTTCTTTATTTTTACTACTTCCTACGTTGTAGATACATACAGAACACATCAAATATATGAAGCAAGATATATATATATTGTTAAATTACTCTAAATATGTCTTATATTTTTGATTCTTTAAAGTAGCCACCCTTTGCTTTGTTGACACTGCTGCAAACCCTTGGCTTTCTCTCAATGAGCTTCATAATGTAGTCACCTGAAATGGTTTTCACTTCACAGGTGTGCCTTGTCCATTTGTGAAATTTCTTGCCTTCTTAGGGGTAACATGAAGTGAAAGAAAAGCAAATTAATTTAATTGTGTTGACTTTTAACAACATGTAAGTTAGATCCTTTAAAAACGACACACATATATATATATATCAGTTATATCATGATCAGTAGATCATGTTTATATTGCTGTATAGTTAATACACAGCGTGTTATAAATACTGGAAAAACACCACTGCCTCATGGTTTTGAATAGACAGACAGACAGACAGACAGACAGACAGACAGACAGACAGACAGACAGATAGATAGATAGATAGATAGATAGATAGATAGATAGATAGATAGATAGATAGATAGATAGAAAATAGGCAATCCAAAAATGGGTTTCTAGTTATTTATACACCACTCTGTATTTAATTACGAGTTATTATTAATCTGGCTTTCCTGTCTCCCTCCCGTTACCATCATGCAGGGCAACAGATTGCTGCCCCTCCCTGTGCCTGGTTCTGCCAGAAGGTCCTTCCTGTTAAAAGGTAGTTTTTCTTTTCCACTGTGGCTGATGTGCTTGCTCATAGGAGGTACTCTGATTGATGGGATTTTCTCTGTATTATTGGAAGGTCTTTACCTTACAATATAAAGCGCCTTGAGTCAACTGTTGCTGTGATTTTATGAAACTGTTGGATAACTATGCAAATGATCTTTTATTTAAAAATAACATTCTGCCCACTTTGACTGAA